AAGAGGCTCATTATTTGAACGTTTGTTAAGACTCAAGATCACAACAACCCTCATGAGAAACTTATATACAAGGCAGAGACAAAAGTTGATCGGCTTTTCAATTGATGCAACTTGTTCAGTCGTTGCATTGTTTATTATTTATTTTCATATGTAACATATAAACATTGTTTTTTCTTTATTTTGATAATGATATATATGTTACTTTGAACCCTCCTTACCAAACATTGGTCCATCGAAAACGAGAACACCTACAACAAGTTAATGTCCCAGAATGCACTGTTAATATGACCAAACATGAGGTATTAGAAGTACTGTGTCATCCTGCAGCATCAGATTACCACCTTTTCCAAAGCACGGCTCAGTTAATGCACGAAAATACGTTTACCGGCATGGATGAAGTTGAAAACGGATGCAGACATTCTTTGCCTCCAAACCAGCCAAAAGGTATATGTGTTGAATTGTGTCTCAGGCGAAAAGACGGCAGTGGACAATGAAAGAGGATGGTATATATTTTGATGAATAAACGCTTTTTGTATATAATTTGTTTGAGCTATTAGATCTTCAAATATAAAAAAAAAGGTTTTTATCTAAACCGAGTACACGACCTATCGCTAAAATGGTGGAAGAAAATTAATTGGCTCTTTATACTGCTACTAAATGTAACTGATTCTACCCGCTATTCTTTATCTTCACAAGAGTCAGATACGAAGTAGAATGCGAAAAAATACTATTTTATGAAAAAGAAAAAACAACAAAAAAGCAAAATTATAATAAAAACCTGATAATCTATAAACAGAATTTTCAGATTAAAGTGCTTGTGTAATAATTTAATAGTTGGCGTCTGTCTTTGCCAAAATGTTACAAAATTGATGAATTCTATTACACTCTTTCACCATAAAATGAGATACAAAGAGATATCTACTTATATAGAATTATATCTACTTGTATAGAATTATGCATTGTTTATCACAGACGCTGCACCAGAAATTCTCATCGAAAATAAAGTTAGCTTTCATTGTTTCGCAAGAATTTATTTCGAAGCTATCTGCAGAGATACCTGGTAATATTTTCGATAAATTTCGTTCGACAGATGAACTCTCTAAATCCTCACGGGTCGCTTCTAACTTCGTGTTTAGATAAGCAAAATATAACTCTCACTGTCGCCATATTCAGTGTTCCGCTTTTCCTAAGAACTGCTACATTGTGGAAATGACTCCCATTTTGATGCTTCCCTGAACGCTACATAGCTAACCTCTTCAAATCAAGGGTCAATCGCTCGCTATATTTCTTATCCTTATAATCTTCAGTTCCTTCTAGGTCGTTTTAAGGCCATAGATCTTATTCAGTAAGCTCTTCCGATGAGTGGTTCTGGAGCCTGGTATTGGGTGAACTTTAGTTTGAAAGACCTCATTGAAAAGAGAGTATTGGGTTTCGTTCCCCAACGGGGATAAGGGATAGAATAGAATAAAGATATTCACCGACTCAAAAATAATGAACAAAAGTGCAAGTTATGTTGAAAAGAGTCAAACTTTTATTAGAATCACTTTTGTTATTTTTTAAAAAAATGTCTGTTTAATATGCTTACTACATATTTTTTTGTTCCAATTTATTTATTATTCTCTTGCTTTTCCCTTCTGGGAAAATATACCTTTTCCTACCATAAAGAATTTTCAAGGCCGCGAAACCAAACATCCAAAATCAAAACTGGCGGTCAGGTTTCAAATTTCGGTCAAATGTATTGAGAATGATTGTCAAAATGGACTCAGTAAAGACATGAAAATTTCTTTTATATATATATATACTTAGCAGGGTAGACTGGGTTCTCTAGCCATCGTTGGCATAAAGCCTCGGACGAAATTTGGAAAACGCTTCACACTTTTCCCGGGAAATAATGTCAAATCACATATAAAAAAAGGTCTGCGGACCAATCCCCTCACAGATAAAGATGTGAATTAAGACAACAAAAAATGTGATTCTACAGAAGGACGCCGAGAATACCAGACACTTAACATATGAGAACTGAAGAAGTTTTAGTGAAAATAAAAACAAGACACTTATACTTCAAATAAGAAGGATACTGTTGACATTTCTCGGAAATATTTGACACATCTATGTGGCATGGAGTATCCTAGCTGTAAAGTTTGGAAGTTTGGGAAATAAATAATGTACTTCGTATGTGGAATAGTGCTTGCATGGTGGAAAATAATTAATTACTCAAAATGTCCCCACAATCTTTTTTGAACTCTCTCGACGCCGAAGATTGAGGAGTGTGCAGTACCAGCCCAGATATGGCAGAAATAATACTTTTTGATCTATATTTTTTCCTTCGACTATACCGAAGTATTTTGTCTCTGAAATGAAATCTGGAAAAGTAACAGGTTTTAGTTGGTGTTAAATGATTGAATAAATAATTTCCAGTCTTCTTTCTTTCCTTAGCAAAATCGAATATGAGACAATATACTAATATCGATCATTTCAATCTTTTTTTTTCTAACAGAATTGATTCCCAAAATTGATAAAAAAATTTCTCCTTTCACAGAAATATTGATTTATTTGTTTGTTTTACGACTTATCGACAATTTTGTGGGTTATTTGAAGCGGGAACATATTTTAGATTTTAAGAAAAATTGTTTTATTTTTGTCAGTGAATATTGCATCAAGACATTTTTGAGAATAATAATATATATATATATATATATATATATATATATATATATATATATATATATATATATATATATATATATATATATATATTTTTCAGATACAGGCCCGACGATTTAACTCATAGCTGTGGGAAGGATATATAATCAGAACTTTCTCAATGTTATTTGTGCGTAAGTGTAGGTAATAAATCCAACTGAAATTCTAATTCTGCCCTCTGATTTCTCATTCCGAGACATTATTCATTTCACCACCCACACATCCACGCCTCAAACTTAAGCAAACCTTTGTGATAAATTAAAGAATATTATTATTATGGTCCAGGTCCTTGTATCACGGTGATGGTCCAAGGTAGAACCAACAAAGAAGAACTCGAACACGGATATGGAATAACACAGATATATTACAAACAGGAATATATAGAGAAGTAAAAAGTGTTAGCATGAACAATCAGGTTTAGTAGTAATTGTCTGAACACGACTCTGTTTCGGACTGTCTCTGACTCGACTGACTGACTCGCTCGCTCTGACTGACTGACAGACTCCTGACGGACTTCTGACGGATCTCACTCCAGACTTCAGACTGAGCAGTATTTAGTCACCCCTCCACGAGGGCATCATGTAGCACAAGGCCGGTTGAACGTGCCATCTCCTAGCCAGTGGGCTCGGCCAAAAATATGCCCTTTGAACCCGTATAAATGCGTTCAGGGTCGGTCTACCTCTGCGAAAGTAACTCCGCCCTTCGGCGTAGCCTCGTTCGGGTTCCTCCCCGCCCGAAAGGTGAGAGTTCAACCGATCAGCCAGTCAGCCGGTCGCCCGACTTCAGACTGAACAGTATTCAGTCACCCCGCCACGAGGGCATCATGTGGCACAAGGCCGGTTTAACGTGGTATCTCCGAGCCCGTGGGCTCGGCCAAAAATATGCCCTTTGAACCCGTATAAACGTGTTCAGGGTCGGTTTACCTCCCCGAAAGTGACTCCGCCCTTCGGTGTAGCCTCGTTCGGGTTCCTCCCCGCCCGAAGCTAGAGAGTTCAACCGATCAGCCGGTCAGCCAGTCGCCCGACTTCAGACTGAACTCCCTGCTTCCTCTTGATCCGCAGTATTTATTTCGTATGGAATAGTCTATTGTGTTATTATGAGTAAGGTCCCATAACAATTATATCCGTATTTCTTTTCTGTGGATTTTCCGTCTTCAGATTGTGACCGTCCTGTGTGGGACGATAAACTATATCCGCGTCCTGTGAAAGACGATAAACAACATCCGACAGCAAGGCCTCTGATCAGGCAGTTTGAGGAACATGGAACCGCCTCTTAATTGGTGGGGTACCCAGGTCCACCCTGACCCGAGGTTGTAGCGCGGTGTTTCCAGCTATGGGCAAATAGTTAACCCCCAAACCGGGGTCAAAACACTGAGAAAAATATTACCAGCAATGAATTTTTGAAAAAATAATTGTTAGAAACAATACATTTTTGGAAAAAAATATTACTAGCAATACATTTTTGAAAAAAAAATATTACCAGCAATAAAAATCTTGTCGACATTAAATAACCCATTGAGTTGTTGATATCCCGTAAAACAAAGCAAACCAAACCAATCAAATTGTGAACGAAGCTTCATCATTACCTGCGCTGTTGAAATAAAACCAGTCTTCATATTAATCAGCATTCAGTGTTGAGGAGTGGTCTCGCAGACAATATCCTGCGAGAGAAGTTTATATATAATAACAGCAAGTCAAACATCTGTGTATAAAATATAAATATTTAATACATTTAAGTCAGAAACGTAGCTTTAATAGTAGGCTAGTAAGCTGAGAAAAACACTTTGAAAGAAGCTTCTATAGCCACTTATTAGATAATGTTCAAAAGTAGGTGCCGTTAGCGTGAATAATGTGCGATTGATATTTGGCACTCATCAATAAATTATATCTGGAAACGTATTGATCCAGAGCTCTGAAGATAAAATCGAACACGCATTATTTTCTGATCGAAAGTGTAAGACATATCCTTTCAACTTTTGTTTTATCTCGGAGATAAAATTAGTGATTGTGTACGAAAAATAAGTAAAATCGAATATTATAACAGAAAAATACAATTTACACATAGACATAACAAATTAAAGTCAAATTTATACAATTATTCGAAAATATATCTCCAACTAGACACCAATTTTAGTCTAGTAAAATCGCACAAACGCCGCCCTCTACTCAAAATAAATTTTAAAACAAACACAAATATACGTGAGGGCTGGCCATTTTCGACGCGACTCACGCTTGCCACAGACGTCCGTGTGTTTCACTTATATAGGCTATAAGAGAAGACGGACAGAGCCGAGAGACCAAAGAGCAGATAGATAGATAGATAGAGAGAGAGAGAGAGAGAGAGAGAGAGAGAGAGATTAGAGTCATACGCGCTACCTTTAGAGGCTTCCCGAAAGTACAGCTGACTGCCCGTCCGAGCATTAGGCTATGAAAACGCCCTCTTATGAAAAGAGGAATGGAACGGACTCTGCTATCAAAGCAAAAAGCCAAAACCTATAACCAACACTCAGCCGCATTAAGCATACTCTTTTTTTTTCCAGCGCTCATTTCCCACCTTGTACAAAGTATATTCGAACGCTACTCTATGTGATTTGCCAGAGATATTTCCATATCCTGTAAATAAGAAATAAATACTTAATTTCTCCAAACCAGTGTCTAATTTGTTTCATTACTTCAACTAATTTCCTTCTTTGGATCAATATACCGAGGCTTTATTTTGGTTCTGATAGATTAAAGACCTTCTTTGAAAGATACACATTTTTATATAGCAGAAGTGAAAAGCACAAGACAAACATGAGCTTCTTGTACAGCGTGATGACTAAAGAAATCTAATTCAACAAAAATCGATTTTCATACAGAAAAAAATAAATCATATTATAGACATTATTTCTAAATCACATTCAGATCAAGGATTATCGGCAAAACGAAAAACTTATATTCACTTCTGTAGCCACTTGAAAGACTCCAAATATTCTCCTCGCGCTATGGGTTAAATAGCATCCCAGACATGTTCATATATTATTCGTTGGCAATCAATCGAAAGTAACGGCAGCGTACTCTGGAAATTCTGGAGATTAGAGAATCATCCTGTCGGAAGTCTGTTCCAAATTGAAACAGTTTAGAGCCAAAAGCTGCTCGCGAATTCCTACTTAGGGCTCGACGGAGACAAACGTGGTAGACAGCCATGGGTCAGTCATCAAGCAAATGAACTGCATCCTAAGTAATGAAATATGAAGAGTGTACACAATACAGCAGCTACTAGCTATGAAAGTTTGGAATGGTGTAAATGAGGAATGTGGTTCGCCCGTATGTTTGCCATGAATCTATAAATATAAACTTGTAGCCTCTGTCTGTCAGTCTGTTGTTATCGTACTCCTCCTCGGCTTTTGGACTACTATAACGATATATATTCTTAAACTACATTACCCAGGGTACTTCCATAAATATATTTCATTTTTATCAGTTGGAGTCCCGGGGAGCACCCCCACACTTTTTACGCCTTTGACATAAATTTAAATTTGAACAAGAAAATGATTTCTAGGGCACTTGGGTAAGTATATTTTAGTTTTATCATAAGGAGTCCTCTAGGGCACAAAACCTTACTGAAAAAATTTCCCTTTGATTTAAATTAAATTTAAATTTGAACAAGGGAGTGACTCCTATGCAAAATATAGAAGGAGAAAGCCAGATAATGTAAGTCACATCAGCACGATCGAAATGATGGACAGCAAGAAATCACCAGGCAGTGGTAGTGCCTGAGAATACATGTTGCAAAATTTCACCTGTCATATCAATTTTGAAATCTGTTCATGATTTCATTCAATCAAGTATTGCATCAAATACATATCAAAGGTGTGATATCAGCTATTTTTGAACAAATCCCCCAATGAAATTTTTACCTCTTTGATTTAAATTAAATTTAAATTAGAATAATGGCATGACTCCTAACCAAGGTATAGAAGAAAGGCAAAAGATGGAGGTCATATGGGCAAGATCATTGAGTAATACTGAAATGCATCATTTGTCACCATAAATTGGAACAATGATTTAAAATCAATCATCATTTTCTCCTAAAAAAGTGTGACATGAAGCAAGACGCGTGTAAATCGGCAAGTGTAGCAATAAAGTAACAAGAAGCTGACACCGCCTCGTATACGGTTTAGGGGTTATAAGATTGAAAACAGTTCATGTTTTTCTGAAAACCCCATTAAAGCTGGAAGGTGAGGATCCTGGAGCCTATTGAATGATTGTGGCAATTTCGTTGAAGAACTGTATTGAAAAATTATACGGTACATGGAGACAGAAAATTGTTAAAGTTAATTTGTTGTCCCAAAAGAAATTATCTGCAAAAACGACAAAAAAAAAAATATGAAAGTTTCAAATTGATTTTCATTGCTGAATTGTTAGGTTTTCATTCAAGCATATTTCAGATATTTTATGCGAGTGTAGAGATACAAGTGACTACTTCCTTATTCACATATCGAAATTATTTACCGTACTCATGTGCCTTCAGGACAACGTGGCAACAACGAAGATTGACGATAGTCAATTGCTGAGCAACACTGAGTTGGTGGCTACTTCCTACATATAAGTCGAGGGAGGCCGATGCGGTAGCCAGCATCAGCTCGGCAAACAAATAAATGTTATGCGTCCGAAGTAAGGAAGATGTCACTCGGGCTTATTGTGCCATAACAAATAAGACCTTCGGAAAACTTGGACATTCCTTTCAAAAGGACGGTTTTTCCATTGACATCGCTATTATTTAACCACCTTCAGTTTTCGGTAATATCTGCTTATTTAATATAGTAAACATCATTTATTTGTTAGATTGTTTACTTACAAGATAAATGTTATATTTACAACATTCTGAAAACTAAAACAATTAAAACTATTGCAAGTCAACATTTCTAATTTACCAATTTATACAGAAATAATTATGAAAAAAATATTCAAAAATTTATAAATATTTCCTAAATTATTAAAATATGTGAATCTTTATCATTTACCATTTTATAAAGTTCAAAGCAACTGGTAATTAGTCGTTGTTTTGTCAAACAAACGCAGCAAGTCATTTGTCCCCAGTGATAAAAACAAGCCGATGAACAATCTTAAATTCTTAATAAAATAAGGGTGTATAATCATTCTATATAGCTGCGCCAATACTTCTGCACGGCCAAGAATATGCACGATGAAAAATATACTTTTATCGTAGGCTCTATTTATGGGTACAAGCGCTCAATATGAGGCATAGAGCCTATATAATATTAAAGTGGACACTGAAGTCAACACCAAGCGGAAACAGTCTGTTTCATGCCTTAACACAACCTTCATGGCATCTGAAGCTTAAAAAAGCCATGCTAAACTATTGAGTTATTTTAGAATGTGAGATGATGGCCTGAAGAGTGCGTTCAAGCATTAAACAGACTGTCGCTGCTCTCGGTGTTAAAATCAATGTCCACTTTTATATATATACATATATATATATATATATATATATATATATATATATATATATATATAGAGAGAGAGAGAGAAGTGAAGAGAGAGAGGGAGGGAGAGAGGGGGAGTAGGGAGAAAGAGAATATTTTTGCAGGATATCGCAGCTGAAACACCTGGGGAAAAGTTTTAGTTCGGGCCGCTTTATCCGTTAATATTACTGTTTATATATACATACTTCCAGTCGATATTGAATGTCAGTAATGTAGACAGTGGGCAAGTCTCCTACTTGTTCCATAGTTTCTTGATTAACATTTATTTATTCAATGACGTTACGATGGTATCAAATAATATTATCCATGATACTTCTTAAATTTTCCAATATTATTTACTACTAATACTACTACTGCTATTGTTATTATTATTACTACTACCATCACTATCACTATTATTACAACTAGTACTTCTACTGCCACCATTTTATTGTTGTTGTTGTTGTTGTTTTTATTTCCTTTGATTTCTGGCGTTTACATATTTCTTTTCGGGCTAGAAATGGTATCATGACACTTTCCGCTGACAAAAAAAATATATATTTTACATAGATAAAACCCTTCGGGGCTGTACTTGTGAGAACATTTTTTTGTATTTCTTTGAGGCATGGGCTTCTAGGAATCCCTTCAATTAGTCTACTGGAATCTTTTCCAACTGTGACACTATTTATCTTGCTAAAAGTGAGAAATGAGAAAAGAAAAAAAGGAAAGAAAAAAAAAGAAAGGCGTGAATTAAAATTAGGTGATAAGAAGCCATCACGAAAAGGACACTAAGCGGTGTTATTTTTCTGACAAGGAAAAGTGGTAAAATTTTTATTTCCTATTGTCGAGAAGGTAAAAAAAGAAGATAGTGGAATTAATCTGATATAGGTTACGGGGCGGGTGGAAATTCCAGGTTGGCCAAATATCCTCAGAGAGAGAATTCTAAATAGATAAACATTTAACTGTGTCGCAGGAATGCCCGTTTGCGACTTCCCACTGAATCCTAAAGAGATAAAAATTTAATAGGTCATCCGCTGACCGAGAAACAAAAATGTCCGTTGACCACACAAGGGTTGCCAAAACAAAAGACCAAACTATTGGTTATCTAATGGAAAGTCGTTTGAAAAAGGAATCTGTTTTGTGTTGAAATTCGGCTATGACAGCGAAACTATTTTATCGGATCAGAAATTGGCACCAAGAATGAAAATACGTTTAATTGATCACCCACTTGATAATTGGCGACTTCCATATGAATTCGGTTGTGAATTGGCGAAATTGTTTTATCGGATCAGTGGTTGGCGCCAGGAGAGTGAGTATGTCTGGTTGACCACACACTTGTTAATTGGCGAAAATCTCATTGACGAATTCCAGGTAATTCGGTTAAAAGATAAAAAGTCTAGGATGGGAGGTTTCCTCGAAGAGAAGAAAGCAAAGGAAAAGTGAAAAAAAGAAAAAAAGATAAAACTTTTTTTTTCTTTGAGCAAGATTTTTTAAACCAAGGCTAGTCTGGCCACACCCACGCCGCTGAGCGCCCATTGGCTGAATGATAGCAAGAGTATTGGGCGGAGGTAATCATGTGAAGCAGGAGGGGAGGCCTACTGGAACCCATTGAGGGATAGGTGTGAGATGCCACTGTGAGAGAGAGGAAGAACCGTTGACACCCTCTGTGGGTATGGTGAGGTACCAATACGAGAACAGAAGAAGGTGAGAGGACGAGAGGACTTCCAAAAATGGAAAATAATAAAAGTTTCCTGACCGAAAACAAAGAAGTGGATTCTGGGTTTGGAATTATCAATGAACCTCAAACCCGACAGGCCCACCCCGGTTTTGGTCGGCGTCCATATAAGCAAAGACGCAGCGAGCGAAAATCAGTTCCAGTGCGGTTCAGTTCGAGATCCA